TGTTGAAAAATAAATGAGATAATTCACATAAAAGCAAGTAGCAGAGTGCCTTCTACAATGTTAGTAATAAATAATTAAATAGGCAAATTTTATTGATGCTTTTCTATTGTTAATTGGCACTGTCATCAGACAAACTTGCCTATAATTACTCTTAATAATTACTGGAAAGAATATGTTATTAGGCAGAATGTGCATCATCAAAGCATTTTCAGCGTGCTGAATTATAATTTGTTTAAAATTGTATTACCTTCATTTGGCAATGGATAAATTTCTATTATAGGAATATCTCTTTACACAAAGAGGGTGTGTTCTAATGTCTATTAATTGTTAGAAACGTTATTAACAGAAATAGACATCATAGTTGTATATTTGCAGAGGTCTTCTGTTTTCTGGTAGCTCATTCCCTCTTGAGTAATCAGCATGATTCCCTCTTCTGTTAGCGCTGTTTCCTATTGAGAACCTTAGAACCTAATTACAGCCTTGAGCATTCATTTCTCCTTCCAGGTAACTGAACTAAGAATTTTTGCCTCATTTGAGTCAGGTCACTGCTTTCTGCTCTTCAGCTATTACCTTCAGTGACCTAGTATTGAGAATATAAGCATTTCCCCAGAAAATCTTCTATGTTCCAGCCTGCTATGTTAAAATAAAAGAATACCCTTCACCTCTAGCAATGGAAGTAGAGTTCCAGTTGTTTCATGTCTTTGTCATCATTTGATTTTGTTGTCTTTTAAGTTTAGACATTATCATGGGTGTTCATTTATATTTCCCTCATTAGAATGATGTTGAATACATTTTTTTAATGCATATTGACCATTTGGATATTCTCTTTGGCTAAGTACCTGTTAAAGGTCTTGGTTTACTCTTAGTCTTTTTCTTATTGCTTGTAGGTGTTCTTTACATATTGTGGATATGAATTCTTCTTTGGATATATGTGCTGTAAATATCTTTTCCCCAGTGTATGGCCTGCCTTTTTATTCTAATGGTAATTTCTTTTTCAAAGATGAAAAAAATCATAGCTGTTATTTTTGGTTTCTGTTAAATACGATTTTAGCTTTAGTCACCATGTTCTGGACAGGTACTACCCTTATAGATCACCTTTGTGTGAATTAGATAAAAACACCCCCTCTTAAGTATCTGCAGCCCCATTAGCATAAGATTTTTTTTTAAAGGTTAGTGTCTTTCAGTGAAGGAAAAGGCTTCTTTCAGGTAGCCTGCGTATTCTGCTATGGCTACAGCTTGCTGAGTAGAGCTTGGTCTGGCCTGGATTTACCCCTCAGTCTGGTGCCTTAATATTTGCTCTGTACTCAAACTGCAAACCAAAGATGGCACCCTAGGGCAGGTTATCTTTAAATAATCAGAGTTTCTAACTATTGAATACCAATTATTATAGTTTATACATTGGATTTTCTCCTTTAAAAAGGTTGTTCTTAAGTTGGGGGGAGTTAACTTCCAAAATTAATTTCCTACTTTTGAGTTGGTTATGACTTAAAAGTCTGGTTATCAGTTAGATGTCTCACACCCAGGATATGTTTTTCCCACTGAAACACTGTTCTGTGGATCTTGGTTATTACCCAACCTATAGTAGTGGGATAGAGAGAGACCTTACCCACTGTGTGTAATGGGTGGCCTTTCTATAGTAAATATTGTTTACCTGTCTGTCTTAGGGTAGCAGTGGCATACTTCCTATATTGTCCTAACATTATAAATAATTACTGCACTTTCCATCTACCTCTGATGACTGTGTTTAAATTGTGGTGCAGTGATACTTGTGGATAAGAAGGACTAACTGAGAATACCAGGTCTCTTGCTAGTGATAACCTATAACATTTTTTGTGGTTTTAGGCTAGCTCCCTTCTTTTTTTTTTTTTTCTTTTCTTCCCAAAGCCCCCAAATCCTGCTTCCTCTCTCACTGCCATCACTTCGTCCTTTTAAGATTTCCCATTTCCCTGCCCTATGGTGGAATATAATTTATTCTGAGAAAGATTTCTGTCTTCTTCAGTCCTTGAGGCAAAAGTGCTCAACCAGTCTTTTGAGGGTAAGGGTTTTGGTTTTGATTTTGTATTTTTATTTTTATTTATTTATTTTATCATGCTTTAGGTTCTGGGGTACATGTGCAGATCATGCAGGATTGTTGCATAGGTACATACATGGCAAGGTGATTTGCTGCCTCTATCCCCCCATCGCCTATACCTGGCATTTCTCCCCATGTTATCCCTATCCCTCTTCCTCCCCTATCCCGCCAGCAGACCCCAGTGTGTGATGCTTTCCCCGTGTCCATGTGTTCTCATTGTTCAACACCCACCTATGAGTGAGAACATGCGGTGTTTTATTTTCTGTTCTTGTGTCAGTTTGCTGAAAATGATATGTATTTTTATTTTCTTTTAGATGTTATCAGTAGTGAGGGAAATAAACAGGAGAAAAATGGCAAATAAACAGAGATGATGTTACCAAGCTTTCAAAAAATGTGTTTCTGGTTCTCAGACATTAAGTGAGGCCAGTTTCTGTTTTTTCTTCATTTAATTTCATAAATGCTTTAATCTTTTCTTTGTGACTATGATAATTACTCTTTGTACAGTTATTATTTATTCCTTGTGACCCAGGATCACTTATTTCCTTTATCTTGTTTTTTTTTTTTTTTCATTTTTTGCTTTTTGTTATTTTTTTGAGACAGAGTCTCACTGTGACCCCCAGATTGGAGTGCAGAGATGGTATCTCAGCTCACTGCAACCTCAGCCTCCCAGGTTCAAGCCATTCTTGTGTCTCAGCCTCCCGAGTAGCCAGGACTACAGGCATACACCATTACACCTGGCTAATTTTTGTGTTTTTTTAGTAGAGATGGGGTTTCGTCATGTTGGCTAGTCTGGTCTTGGACTCCTGATCCACCCGCCTCGGCCTCCCAAAGTGCTGGGATTGCAGGTGTGAGCCACTGCACCCAGCCCTATTTATTTTTTTATCATAGAGAGTTATCTGTCTTGATTTTATATTGGTTACTATAAATTTTGATTCATTTTCTTATAAAAAGTAATGCTGTCTGCAAGAAAATTATGTCAGTTCAACAGAGAGGAGGGAACACAAATAGTAACATAATCTTATTTGTACATCTTTTTTTTTGTAAGCACATTTTATGAGAGATCCATAAGCTACATAGAGCTTTAAAAAACCTAAAGAGATCTAAAGATCTTAAGTATAAAAGAAAGGATATAAATTCTTCCTTGTTTGGGTGCTTTGTTTTCTTCTGTATTATTTTCTCTTCTGTTAACCACAGGCAAATATTAGTTTTCTCAGCAACTTATGTACTTTTACCCTTGAGCATTTATAGGATTTAATAGTAATTTTCTATTGTGCTTTATATTGCCATGGTTATTCAAGGTAAATATTTAGATAATTTTATAACACATTATCTCTCTGGGCTCATTGTAGATTCAGGGAATAATTATTGATTAACATCATCTTTTCTACAAGGAAAATAATACCAATATTAAATGACTTCCCCCAAATTGTTAATGGTTTACTTAAAAATGCTTGGGAAATTGTTAATTATTTTTTTATTATACTTTAAGTTCTGGGTGCATGTACAGAACGTATAGGTTTGTTACATAGGTATGCACGTACCATGGTGGTTTGCTGCATCCATCAATCCCTCATCTACATTAGGTATTTCTCCTAATGCTGTCTTTCCCTTAGCCCCCCCACTCCCTGACAGGCCCCAGTGTGTGATGTTCCCATCCCTGTGTCCATGTGTTCTCATTGTTCAATACCCACTTATGAGTGAGAACATGCAGTGTTTGGTTTTCTGTTCTTGTGTGTGTTTGCTGAGAATGATGGTTTCCAGCTTCATCCAAGTCCCTGCAAGGGACATGAACTCATCCTTTTTTATGGCTACATAGTATTCCATGGTGTGTATGTGCCACATGTTCTTTATCCAGTCTTTCATTGGTGGACATTTGGGTTGGCTCCAAGTCTTTGCTATTGTGAACAGTGCTGCAATAAACATACACGTACGTGTGTCTTTATAATAGAATGATTTATATTCTTTGGGTATGTGCCCAGTAATGGGATTGCTAGGTCAAATGGTATCCCTAGTTCTAGATCCTTGAGGAATCACCACACTGTCTTCCACAATGGTTGAATTAATTTACACTCCCACCAACGGTGTAAAAGCATTCCTAGTTCTCTGCATCCTCTCCAGCATCTGTGTCTCCTGGTTTTTTAAAGATCGTCATTCTAACTGGCGTGAAATGGTATCTCATTGTGTTTTGATTTGCATTTCTCTAATGACCAGTGATGATTAATTCTCAGGAATTTTTTTTTTACATCACCTAAAACATGTTAAGTAGTTTAATGAATTCCAGGTCATATTATAGTAATGACTTCTGTAAAACCAGGGAAATGTGATCCTTCCATTTAAGAGAATATACCCAAAATTATATTTGTTTTTAAAGGTTTAATGATTAAAGAGTAATATATAGTAATATATTAAATATTAATAAGTTACTAATACCAATAGCTTTGATTCTTCACAACACCATGGGATTTACAATTTTAGTGTTTAGTAACTGATAAATCCAGATCCCTTTTGTTTATGTAAGACAGGAACTTAAAAACTAATGTGGTCCCTATGTTTAGAGGTCAGGTTTAACTTTAATCAGTTGGCATTTGAAATATTATTTTTCATCTTATAAAAGGTTTTCAAAAAGGAAGATATTTCTGGTGTTACAAAAGTAAAATCTGAAATAATCTGGGGAAATATAGTTAGCATATTTACTAGTAACACTATTCAAATTTGTAAAAGTGAAGCAATTGTAGCATATATTTATTTCTCATTTTAATAATCTTAATTCCAAAAACTTGGAAGAACAAATCATTGTGGTAAAATATTATCTCTTCTTTGAAACTTGAAAATTTTTTTATCAATACCCCCAAACTGAAGAAATAAATATAAAAATTTGGTATTCACTTTTATTCTCTTCTTGCTTTGTTCCCTTTCCCTCTCCCCAAAGCAGATCGCCAAACTGAGGCAGCAGCTACAACGCAGTAAACAAAGTAGTCGTCACAGTAAGGAGAAAGATCGCCAGTCACCTCTTCATGGCAACCATATAACAATCAATCACACTCAGGTAGGCTAACTTCTTCTTGTCTAGATTTGAATAATAACTTTTAGTTCATTAAGGAAGAGAATTCATCATTTTAGCATTAAATAAATACAATGAATCTTTAGCTCTACTAAATTACTTCTTTGTAAAATGATTATAAAAAGATTATTAAAAAGCAGCCAGATGAGGTGGCTCACTCCTGTAATCCCAGCACTTTGGGAGGCCAAGGCAGGCAGAGCACTTGAGGACAGGAGGTTCAAAACCAGCCTGGCCAACATGGTTAAACCAGCCTGCCTCTACTAAAAATACAAAAAAAAAAAAAAAAATAGCCAGACTGGTGGTGGGTGCCTGTAATCCCAACTACTCTGGAGGCTGACACAGGAGACTTACTTGAATTCGGGAGATGGAGGTTGCAGAGAGCCGAGATCATGCCACTGCACTCCAGCCTGGGTGACAGAACTAGAATACATCTCAAAAAAAAAAAAGTAGATTAAAAAGCATATGTTTAGCCTTGTCTTAATAACACGTATAACACAGGATAGTGGTCTCAAGGATGATACTGACCTGGACTAAAATCTTTACTTAATTCACTTATTGAGCAACTATGGGCATTATTTCATTTAATCTTCCTGACAGTTCTTTCTTTTTATGTCTATGTATCTTGTCCCTATTTTACATATGATGAATTTGAGGATTAACGTTTTTATTTTCCGCTAGAAATAAATACTAAATATCCTATGGAACAAAATAGTAATGTAACAGAAGAAACCCAAGCAGTGTATCAAAACAAACCCAATTAGGATTTGTTTCACAAAGATAAGGATGATTCAACATTGAGAAATGTATTAGTTTAGTTCATTGCATCGGAAAACCAAAGTAGAAAAAAACATTTGATTTTCTAGATGCTGAATTACACTTGATAAAAACTCAGTATCTTGTGATTTAAAAAAAAACTCTTACTAAACTAAAATTAGGATATTTCCTAATGTGACTAACTACAAATACAGTGAGACCCTACCAATAAAATATTAGTAGCATAATTGTTGAAAAATCAAGTCAAAGATGTCTGTAATTATTGATATTATTTGCTAGTGGTTCAGAGGTTCTAGAACAGGTCAGTAAGAAAAAGAATCATCACTACTTGCATATGATATTATATATTTAGAAAATCAAAGTGAATTAATAAGTCTACTAAAACTAATGATAGGATAGCGAAAATGAAAGTTACTAATAATACCAACTGTTGATAAGGATGTGGAAAAATCAAAACAGCCACACATTGTTGTGGGAACACAAAAAGGTAGAGACTTTGTACTTTTTACTTTGGCAAATATATTGTCATTTTCTTAAGAAGTTAAACATATGCTGACCATTAAACTACAGTTTTCACCCTTTGGTATCGGTCCATGAGAAATAAAAGCATATGTCTACATAAAGACTTGTACATGAGTCTTCTGAGACATTATTCATAATACTAAAAAAAAAAAGGATATAGACAAACATCTTTCAAGTTGTGAGTGAATAAACACTTCATATATCCATGCAATGTAATACTATTATGCAGTAAAATGAAAGGAACTACTGATACATGGAACAACATGGTTAAATCTTAAAAACATGCTAAGTGAAAGAAATCAGGAGCAAAAGGCTACATACTATGATTTGTTATTTTAGATTCTCAAAAAGGAAACATTATCAAAACAAAGTTTTAGGGATGGGGGATTGACCACAGAGAAGCCCTAGGGAAAGTTTTTGGATAGAAGGTTCTGAATGTGACTGTACTGATAATTGTAGGACTGTATCTGTGTAACAGAGCTCAACAAACTGCATGCTTAAAGAGGGAAAATTTTTTTGTATGCCTCTTATACCTCATTAGAGCTGTAAAACCAACTGGTAAGCCTGAACCTTTGAAGTAAAAATTCATACATGCCTTTTTTTTTCTTCATCTGATAGAAGTAGGATATCCTTATTGTTTATTTCAAGCAGTTTTTCTCTAGGAGTCCAATGCACTTAACACGAGATCAGTTGACCCATTGACTTAATAATTGTTCTAAATTACGTTGAATTTTTGCCATGTGGTTCTTCTTAAAAATGGTTATCCTTTGCTATACATACTGAAATATTTGTAGGTGAAATATGAAGTCTAGAATGTACTTTAAAATATTCCAAAAACCAAAAAGGGGTATTCACATGAAACAAATTGGTAAATGTTGATAATTTTTGAAGCTGGATTATGTGCAGGTAGGGGTTTATTATTTTACTCTGTTGAATTATGTTTATGATTGGAATTTTCCATAATGAAAAGGGGAAAACTGAAGCTAGATGATTAGATAAAGTATAAACATACCCAAATTGTTTTCTCTTGTACTAGTAATAACGTGCTTGAAAATATAATAAAAAATATAAAATGCCTAGAATCACATTTAAATATGCAAACTTTACATCTCTGAGAACATGAAATACAAGACACATAAATGGGAAGTCTTAACACATTGATAGATGGGAAGATTCAGTATCTTTCAAATAGCAATTTACCTGAAATTAATGTACAAATTGTTTTGAGTTCCAGTGCAAATTTAAAAGGAATTGTTTTTATTACTTGAAAAATTGTCTTCAAAAGTCAATGAAAAAAGCAATGCTCATTTATAGAAAATTTGAAAAGACTTTTCCTACAAGATACTGAAATGTAATATAAAATTATAGCAATTAAGTGGCACTCTGTATAGGATTATCAGATAGTAGCTCCAGGAAATCAAATATAGAATCCATAAAGAAGTATTACAGCAGTGGGATTACTGTGGCGGGGGCGGGGGGGAAGAATACTTAGACTTTACACCATGCACAAAAATAAATCATGATAGGTTAAGTATTTAAATATGAAAAAATTGTAAAAATGCTGAAAGAAGAATATTTGATAAAAGTTGATTACCTATTTGATAAAATACAGTTAACCCTTGAACAACAATTGGGGTTGTGGCATTGACCCCCTCATGCAGTTGAAAATTTGTTTATAACTTTGGCTTCTGAAAAACTTACCTACTAATAGCCCATTGCCCAGGAGCCTTACTGATTACATAAAAATAGTGCTTAACATATTTTGTAGGTTTCATGTATTCTCTATTCTTCAATAAAGATACAGAAAATAAATGGTAATTATTAAAGTCATAAAGAAGAGAAAATGTATTCAGTGTTCATTAAGTGGAAGTAAATCATCACAAAGGTCTTCCTCCCCATTGTCTTCACTTTGAGTAGGCTGATTAGGAGAAGAAAGAGGAGAGGTTGGTCTTGCTGTCTCAGGGATAGCAGAGGTAGGAGAAAATCTGTATGTAAGTAGACCCACACAGGTCAAACCCATGTTGTTCAAGGGTCAACGGTATTTGAAAAAATATGTGATACTAACATATAAAAAAGTTTAAACCACATTATGAAAAAAGCTCATGCATCAATAAGAGACAAAAGACATTGATGAGCAGCAGCTCACAACTGGCAAGAATACACCATTGTATGAGAAATATTGTTACCGTGCTAACCAATGATTAGCAGTTCACCTTAACACAGACCATGTATATCAACTTGATTCAGTGTAAGATAGAGGTCATATGTTGTTTTAATTTTTACCTTATTAATCTTTATTTTTCTTACTTCTTTTCTGTTGTATAAATCCTTAAGCATCAAAGGGATTGTCTTGCAATTTTTACTTAACAACAGCTATTAGTGGTAGTTAATTTTTGAGAACTCCTGCCAAGGACTTTTGAAAACAGCCTTTAAATTGTTAAGAGAGTTGAACTTAGTATAATACTGTTGCCATTACTTAATAATCCAACAGATTTTCTTAAATAGTTGACAAAATGGAAATGCAAAATACTAGAAGGTAATTGTCACTATACAGAAAACAAACATCTTTTAAACATATTAATACAGAGCTATAGAGTGGACTTACATGATATATTTAAGTTACATGATTTCAACTATGCTGTTCCGTGAAACAGAAAAAGGAAAACAGTGTAATGCAGAAGATTCTGCCTGCCATTCTACTGAACAAGTATATACATTACACAGTTATATCATTATACTTACATAAAGGGATTTGAAAGGATTATTCTGATTATATAATTTTCATTTTACTTCCTTCAGAACCTAAATTTCTGTATGTGCACCTGAATTTTTATTGTATTTGAAAGGTCAGAAATAACTCTGCTCATTGAGTTTCAATTTTGGTATTTACCATACTCTTTAGTCTTGATTGCCTTGACCACAAATAATTTGATACCACCTTTATCTTATCTCATAGGCTACTGGATCAAGGTCAGTTCCTATGCCACTGTCAAATGTATCAGTGCCAAAATCATCTGTTTCACGTGTGCCCTGCAATGTAGAAGGAATAAGTCCTGAATTAGAAAAGGTATTCATTAAAGAAAGTAATGGGAAGGAAGAAGTATCCAAGGTAAGGTTACTTGGGATATTTGAATCCTTTTTTTTTTTTTTGATATAACAAGCTGTCTGAAAAGTACTTTTTTGGTAACAGCTTTATTAAGATGTAATTCACATACCATCCAATTTACTCAGTTAGTGTACAATTCAGTGGTTTTAAACATATTCAGAGTTATACAACCATCATCACAATTAATTGTGCAGCATTTTCATCACCCCCAAAAGAAACATTGTATCCTTTCACAGTGGTCCCTCATTTCCCTATAATACTCTTGGCCCTAGGCAACCACTAATCTGTTTATGGATTTTTTGGTTGTTGTTCTAGACATTTCGTATCAATGGAATCGTACAATGTGGCTTTTTGTAACTGGCTTCAACTTAGCCTAGTGTTTTTAAGGATCACCCAGGTTTAGACTGTTATCAGTGACTTCCTTTTTATGGCCAAATAATACTCAGTTATATGGATTTTACTTATTCAGTTATAAATTAATGGAAATTTGGATTGTTTTACTTTTTGGCCATTGTGAATAATGCTTTTATAAACATTTGTATACAAGTTTTTGTGTCAACATACTGTTGGCATTTCTCTTGAGTGTAAACCTAGGGTTGGAATTAGTACTAGGCTAATATAGTATTAGGAATTAGTACTAGGCTAATATTAGTATTAGGCTAATATAGTACTTTATTTTCACCTTTTAGGGAACTGCCAAACTCCTTTCCAAAGTGTCTGCAACATTGTACATTCCTACCAGTGTATAAGAGTTGCAATTTCTTTGCATCCTAACACTTGTAATTATCTGTCCTTTTCTTTCTTATAGCAATCTTAGTGGATGTGAAGTGATATATCATTGTAGTATTAATTTGCATTTCCTAATGGCTGAAGATGTTAAGCATATTTTCATATGCTAATAGCCATTTGTATGTTGGAGAAATGTTTATTTAGATCTTTCTCCCCATTTTAAAATTGGCAGTGAAATTGCTAGGTCATAGCATTTGTACATTTAAAATATTGATGAATATTGTCAGAATTACCCTCCCAAAAGGTTGTACTATTTTACTCTCCTTTAACATTTCATGTTAAGTTTTTATTTTTATGTATATTATTCCATCAAGGAACTCTTTAGACATATGGCATCTCTGTTTGCCATTGGACTGTTTTCTTTTCTTTTTTTGAGACAGAGTGGCGCTGTTGCCCAGGCTCGACTGCAGTGGCACAATCTCAGCTCACTGTAACCTCTGCTTCCCAGGATCAAGCGATTCTCCCACCTCAGCCTCCTGAGTAGCTGGGATTACAGGCACACACCACCATGCCCATCTAATTTTTGTAATTTTAGTAGAGACAGGGTTTTACCATGTTGGCCAGGCTGGTCTCAAACTCCTTACCTCAAGTGATTCAACCACCTAGGCCTCCCAAAGTGCTGGAATTACACATGTGAACCACTGTGCCCAGCCCATTAAACTGTTTTCTTTATACATTAAGTGTAAGGACAGTAATGTAAGGACATAAACTTGATCTCATTTTTGGAAGATGAGATAATTCACGTATTTGCTGATTCCTTAAAAACCAAAACTATACTAAAATAAAAAGCTTGATAAAGTACTTCTCCTTTTAAATAAGCCTTACTTCAGTAGTAGCCGTATCAGAATTATTCTGGGATAACCTACAAACTTACAATTTTTAGAAGTTTTAGATTTATGATTAAATGTACCTAAAAAGTTTAATGAATCAAAACATCACCATGAATTGTCCAGTAGCCAAAAAAGGAAAGTTGTCTTGTTAACTATATCAGTATTCCAGTGCAGTTAACAAGACAATTTGTTAACATTTTTTTTTTTTGGGTGGGGGAGGAAGGCAGGAAGGGAGGGAAGAAGGACGGTAGGGAGGAAGGAAGGGATGAAGGAAGGAAGGAAGGAAGGGAGGAAGCGGGGAGGGAGAGAGGGAGGGAAGGGAAGGAAGGAAATCAAGCAATGAGAGAGACATTGCCGACCTGGATCTATAGGTTTACAAGTTGATTTCTTTTTTTTTGAGAGAAGGAAAGAAAAAAAAATAATAAGTAAAGGAGAGGAAGAAAGAGGAAGAGAAAGAGGGAGAGTAAATGGAAATATTGCTTTATTTTGAAAAAAATTGAGTATTAATAATGGCCAATCAATGTTTCATTTAAACTTATGGGTAGGTGTGATGTGATATTGACAAGAATGTATATTTTGTGTATTTGAAGTGGAGAGCTCTATGAATATTTATTAAGTTTACTTGTTCCGGATCTGAGTTCGAGTCCTTGATATCCTTATTAATTTTCTGTCTCATTGAATCTAAGTCTCGTATCTGGGTGTTAGGATCATTAGCTCTTGTTGTTGCATTGATCCTTTTACCACTATATCTTTGTTGCTTTAAAATCTATTTTCTCCGATACGAGAATTGCAACTCTTGCTTTTTATTTATTTATTATTTATTTTTGCTCTCCATTTGGTTGGTAAATCTTTCTCCATCCCTTTGTTTTGAGTCTTTGTGTATCCTTGCATGTTAAACAGGTCTGGATGTAACATGCCATTGGGTTTTGGCTGTGTCTTTTGATTGGGGGATTTAGTCAATTTAAATTTAGGGTTACTGCCATTTGATGTTGACTGGCTGTTTTATCCATTCGTTGGTGTAAATTCTTCTTTATGTTGGTGCTCTTTACTTTTTGGTGTATTTTTAGAAAGGCTAATACTGGTTGTTTCTTTCTGTGTGTAATGCTTCTTTCAGAAGCTCTTGTAAAGCAGGCCTGGTGGTAATAAAATCTCTGAGTTCTTGCTTGTTCCTAAAAGATTTTATTTTTCCTTCAGTTGTGAAGCTTAGTTTGGCTGGATATGAAATTCTGGGCTGAAGGTTCTGTTCTTTGAGAATGTTGAATATTGGCCCCCACTCTCTTCTGGCTTGTAGAGTTTCTGCTGCGAGATCTGCTGTAAGTCTGATAAGCTTGCCTTTGTGGGTAACATGACCTTTCTCTCTGGCTGCCCTTAGTATTTTCTCCTTCGTTTCAACCCTGGTGAATCTAACGATTATGTGCCTTGGGGTTGCTCTTCTTGAGGAATATCTTTGTGGTGTTCTCTGTATTTCCTGGGGTTGAATTTTGACCTGCTTTGCTAGTTTAGGAAAATTTTCCTGAATAATATCCTGAAGGGTATTTTCCAGCTTGGATTCATTCTCTCCGTCGCATTCAGGTACACCTATCAAACGTAAATTTGGTCTTTTCACATAGTCCCACATTTCTTGGAGACTTTGCTCATTCCTTTTTATCCATTTTTCTCTAATCTTTTCTTCATGTTTTATTTCATTAAGTTGGACTTTGACCTCTGATATCCCTTCTTCTTCTTGAACAATTCGAGTGTTTAAACCTGTGCATACTTCTCGGAGTTCCTGTATTGTATTCTTTAGTTCCATTAATTCACTCATACTCCGCTCTAAGTTGTCTATTCTCAATAGGATTTCATCAAACCTTTTTTCAAAGTTCCTAGTTTCTTTACGTTGGGCTACAACATGGTCTTTTAACTCACCGAAGTTTCTTATTATCCATTCCTTGAAGAGTGATTCTGTCATTGGGATGCGCTCGTTCTCCATCAAGCCTTGTTCCATTGTTGATGTGGAACTGTGATCATCTTTAGAGGGAGAGGTGTTCTGATTTTGAGTATTCTCAGCTTTTTTACACTGGTTTCTTCCCGTCATTGTAAATTTATCCTCCTGTCTCTTTGAAATTACCAACTTTCAGATTAGGTCTCTTGAGTTAGTCCAGGTTGTTAGTTCCCAGGGCCAGAGCAGAGGCGTTAAAACTGATGGTGCTTTTCTGCCCAGGATTCTCCTGTCGGGCTTCCTTCTTGTGTCGGTAGTAGGCGACTCTGCCTTCCCGGGGCTCCAAACCTCGGTCAGAAGGGAAACCGGTCCTGTTTACTCTGCGCCTAGCGCTCTCGCACCAAGGTGCCATCACAGCGGCTGTGCTGGGCTCTGGTGTCCTGCTGGGAACCCGTGCAGGTCCTCCGAACCTGTTTACTTTGCTCCGAGAGCTGCCGCGCCGAGGTGCCGGCGGAACCGCTGCACCGGCCACGAGAGTCGCGCTGGCCACCCGTGTGTTTCCTCCACTGGGGGATCTCCTGCTCCGTGAGCGACCAGAATTTGTCTGAAAGTGTGGCGTCCTCTGGTTCTCCGCGCCTTCCCTGAGAGCTGCAATCCCGGGATGTTAGTGATCGGCCATCTTGGATCATCCTGCCTTGTTAACATTTTTTGTTCATAAAATGAACTGATATATAAATAATTAAAAACTCTCTTTAGAATAGTCATTGTTAGGTTGTGAAGTTGGTATAGTTTTTGTTTAGCAGCATTCTGTAGACAAATGAAGTTTTTAACTATTAGGTTCAAGGGCACATGTGCAGGTTTGTTATATAGGTAAATTGCATATCACGAGAATTTGTTATACAGATTATTTCACCACTCAGGTAATAAGCATACTACCTGATAAGGTGGTTTTTCAGGTATTACTCCCACCCTCCACCCTCACATAGGACCTAGTATCTGTTGTTACCTTCTTTGTGTCTATAGGTACTCAATGTTTAGTTCCCATTTATAATTGAGAATATGTATAGTATTTGGTTTTCTGTTCCTGTTTTAGTTTGCTTAGGATAATGACCTTTAGCACCATCCATGTTGCTGCAAAGGATATGATCTTATTCTTTTTATGGCTGCATAATATTCCATGGTGTGTATGTACCACATTTTCTTTATCCAGTCTACCACTGATGGGCATTTAGGTTGATTCCATGTGTTTGTTATTGTAAATAGTGCTGTGATGAACATTCACACGCACATGTCTTAATGGTAGAACAATTTATATTCCTTTGGGTATATACTCAATAATGGGTTGCTGAGTTGAAAAGTAATTCTGGTTTGAGTTCTTTGAGAAATCACCACAGTGCTTTCCACAGTGATTAACCTAATTTACATTCCCACCAGTAGTGTATAAGCATTCCCTTTTCTCCACAACC